ATTTGCGCACAGGTTAGCAAAAAAATTGAAGAAGGTAACACAGTGGGAGCAATCCGAATAATTACAAGTGACGACACTGTAGCCCCCAAAGATGAGACCACAGCCCAAGCACTAAGAGAGAAGCATCCAACCAGGGACACCATAGCCATCAACAACAACCCTGAGGAAGACCCCATCACTGAACAATTAATTTTGCCTGAATCTGCAGGATCTGCAGGAGGTTACACTGGAATTCTACCTCAGCATCTCAAGGAGATGGTATATCCAGTACTCGGTGCATCTGCATCACTTCTTCTCACCGAGTTAACAACTTTCGTCAACAACTGCCTGGCTGGGCGAATCCCAGAAGAAATTAAACCTTTCTTTTTTGGAGCCTCACTGTGTGCGTTGAAGAAGAAGAATGGGGGGATCAGACTCATTGCGGTTGGAAACACTCTTCGCCGTCTCGTTGCCAAAGCAGCAGTAAGAAACATTCGCATAGAAGCTGCCAGTTTACTCCAGCCACACCAACTGGGCTTTGGGGTCCCTCAAGGCAGTGAAGCTGCAGCTCATGCGGCAAGGCCCTAGGGCCTACATCAGGGACCTACCAGAAGACAAGGCCGTAGTCAAATTTGATTCTAGAAATGCCTTTAACATGGTAAAGAGAGATGCTGTCTTGCCAGCTGTTCGGGATCGCTTCCCCAGTCTTTTTCCCTTCATTTCAGCCGGCTACAGCAAACCCTCAATTCTTTTGTTTGGAGAACATGAAATTCTCTCATCAGAAGGTGTTCAGCAGGGTGACCCACTAGCTCCACTTGTCTTCTGCTTGGCAGTAAGAGAACTAACTTCCAGCCTACGCAGCGAGCTCAACATCTGGTACCTGGATGATGGCACTCTGGCAGGCACTGAAGAGTCCCTGGTGGGGGATCTACAACTGGTGAAAACATAGGGAGAAGACTTGGGACTCATCCTCAATCCCTCCAAGTGTGAAATCATCACAGAGAACCAGGAAATAATCAATGCTGTGCGAAGAATCCTCCCAGAAGTCTCTACTACCACTCCGTCCAACAGTACCCTCTTGGGAGCACCGCTGGGTCACCAGGCCATCGACACAGTCCTCAAGGACAAATTGAATGACCTGATGAGAATGGAGGAGAGAATAAGCAGTCTTGATGCCCATGATGCTCTGTATCTCCTCACAAGGTGCCTTACTATTCCAAGACTCACTTACTTCCTGAGGTGTGCACCCTCTTTTGAAAACCCAACACTCGACGAATATGACGCACACCTGAGGTCAACCCTTAAGAAGGCACTGAACCTGTCACTAGAGGATCAGCAATGGGATCAGGCAACCCTCCCAGTGCGACTGGGAGGTACAGGGGTGCGCAAAGCAACGCATGTTGCTTTACCTGCTTTTCTGTCTTCGTGTTTGGCTTCCAGTGCATTAGTCAAGAAGATTGTTTTCCCCAACGCTTGAGAGACGTGGTAGGAGCTCAAGACCCCAGGTTTACTGAAGCAGCGATTCGGTGGGACACCCTTACAGATTCCTCGAGTAGACCAGCTACTCCCAAAGAACACGAACAGTCCCACTGGGACAAACCGATCATGGAAAAAATCGCCAACACAATGCTCTCCAACGCCTCAGGAAAGGACAAAGCTCGTCTCCTGGCAGTGAAGGCACCACACTCAGGAGATTTCCTGTTAGCTGTTTCCCAAATTTCCCCCTTGGGCACTCGACTAGACCCACAGGCCATTCGGATTGGTGTTGCTCTTCGCCTAGCCGCCCCCATCCTCACCGAACATAAGTGTATTTGCGGCAGGGCGACAGCTGATCAATTCGGACTTCATGGTCTCGTGTGTCACACAGCAGAAGGGAAGTATGCCAGGCATGAGGAGGTCAATGACATCATAGAGAGAAGCCTCGCCACAGCCCGTTGCCCAGCTCAACGGGAACCCCAAGTGCAGAGGTCTGACGGAAGTCAAAAGCGTCCTGATGGAGCCACTATGCTACCTTGGAAGGATGGAAAGCAGATTGCCTGGGACTACACATGTGCCGCCACATTGGCAGACACCTACTTGCCATACTCCATAGTGGAAGGGGGTGGAGCTGCCAGCCACAGGGAGACCCAAAAGATCCGCAGATATGGAGATCTTCCCCCTTGCTATAACTTCATCCCAATAGGGACGGAGACCCTTGGAGCATGGGGCAAGTGTGCTCTAAAGTTCCTAATAGAGCTGGGTGAAAAGCTCATCATAGAAACCAAGGACCACAGGGCGACCAGCTTCCTCTTTCAGAGGCTCAGTGTTGCGATCAGAGAGGAAATGCCTGCAGCATTCTGGGCACGCGGCCCACCGCCGGGGAGCTGGACGAAGTATTCGAGATGTAGCTCTGAGTTACCTATGTTTTACTTTCTATCGTATTTTTGTGAATGTTTTGTCAATGTATTTTGTCTTTAAATAAAATATATATAAAATATATGGGGTGGTAGGAGAAAATTCTCAAACAGCTTCAGGGAGAACCTTGAGTTTTCCCTGGAGCAAGTTTATTCTTTTCTCTGAGGATGAGGGTTCCTATAACAGTTCTAGTGGTGGTACCGCCCTATATTATATATATATATATATATATATATATATATATATATATATATATATATATATATATATATATATAAATTTCAACCTCATCCTGTTTGGTGTACTACCCTCCATGAGCAGTCTACTATATATCAATGAATTTACGAAACATGTGGTTTTGAATCATTAACAGAACTGCGGCTTGGCCAGGACTCGATCCTGCGTTCCCATGCCCACGCCGGTGTGAACTTGTTTTGTGATTTCATTCATATATACACTGCTTGTGGAGGCTGGCTCACCATACAGTATGAGGTCGAAATTAATCTTGCACCATGATAACATGCTTAGTACTGCTGAGCGCATGGTGTTTAAGGATGGTGTGTGTATATACATATATATATATATATATATATATATACATATGTATGTATGTATGTATACACACACACACTGCGAGACTCAGCCAGGAGCTGAGTCTCGACCTCTGCAACCACAATTAGGTGAGTACTGCGACTTTAGACAGTCTCACAGGAAGCCACCTAAACTCTGGATGCACCAGACCACTATATCGTCATCGCAGAGCGTCAGGAGTTTAGCTGGCTTCCTGGGAGGCTGCCTCAAGTCTCCCGTTCGATAACGAAAAAAATAAAAAGGCACAATACCGTGACTGGAACAATACACAAATAACCCGCACATAGAAGAGAGGAGCTTACGACGACGTTTCGGTCCGACTTCGACCATTTACAAAGTCACACTAACGAAAAGGAGAACAGGATGGATATATATAGGCAGTAGGTGGTAGTGGTAGTATATATATATATACCCATCCTGCTCTCCTTTTCGTTAGTGTGACTTTGTAAATGGTCCAAGTCGGACCGAAACGTCGTCGTAAGCTCCTCTCTTCTATGTGCGGGTTATTTGTGTATCTCCCGTTCGATTCTTGACAAGTCGTATAATGTTTTTTTAAACCAATTGTTTCCGGGGTTACATTGGTTTGGTGTGTGTGTGTGTGTGTGTGTGTGTGTGTGTGTGTGTGTGTGTGTGTGTGTGTGTGTGTGTGTGTGTGTGTGTGTGTGTGTGTGTATATATATATATATATATATATATATATATATATATATATATATATATATATATATATATATATATATATATATATATATATATATATATATATATATATATATATGTCGTGCCGAATAGGCAGAACTTGCGATCTTGGCTTAAATAGCAACGCTCATCTTGCCATATAAGACAAGCTAAAATTTGTGTATTAAATAATTTCGCCAAAATCATTCTGAACCTAACGAAAAAAAAATATTTCACTGTGTTTGTTTAGTATTAAATTATTGTAAACAAATCTAAAATATATTTAGTTGGGTTAGACTAAAATAAATTGCGCTTGTTATAATAAGGTTAGGTAAGTTTTATAAGTTCCTTTTGGTGCAAAATTAAAAATTTTTACATTAACATTAATGAAAAAAATATATCTTTAAACGTATAAGAGAAAATTTCAGAATGGACTTAATTTTAAATGAGTTCTTGCTAATTGACCAGTTTTACATATTCGGCACGACATATATATATATATATATATATATATATATATATATATATTGTGTGTGTTGGTAGACTTACCATAATTTTACATCAATATAATTGTCATTATTATTTTGAATTTGTCTCCTTGGTTCAAAATCTATACTAACGGTTTTCACTGAAGTAAATTCTCTTTTGACAATTTTTTTTAATTTTTTTTTTTTTTTTTTTTTAATTACGCTGTGTGACTTTAATAGTGATCGACCTTCATTCAAATATGTTTAACCGAAAATAACTGCATAAGAGGGACAGGCGATAGGCGTCGGTTAATTCGTCGGAATTTAAACTCTACGTAGTGTTAGTTTGTTAATAGGTATTAAGCCTATCAGCTACTCATAGGGTCATTATAGCTGCAAGCTACTACATAAATTTCTAAAATAGGGATTAAATTAAACTCAGTGTATACACACTGAGAGACATTCACCATTCCTATATATATCCTGTCTTAGTGTAACTCTTCTGTTATTATGATTAGTAATAGTAGTAGTGATAGTAATAATAAAAATAATAATAGTTTTAATAACAGCAATAATAATAGTAGTGGTAGCAGTAGTAATGGTGGTAGTAGTAGTATATTTATGGGAAATTCTTAAAGGATACAGTTCCCCTGTCTTTTAATAATATATTATTTTTCCCCTAAAATCTACTTTGTCCATAATTACTGTCCTAGACTTCATTGACTTAACGAAAGCAGACAAAGCAAATGCGGTTGTAATTATGGACACGGTAGATTATAGAGGAAAAATAAACATAATATTAGGAGACCGGGAAACTCACACGCCTCTTAAAGCCGTAAGGGGTGACATAGCCCCTTCTTGAAGGGTAACATTTCTATGGGTGTTTTTCAGAGGTGTCTCGGGCGTTCCTGGCATCATTCATCCTGGTGATGGACCTGTTGATTGTGATGCAGGACTGGGACTTCCCTCACTTCACCTCCACCATTGACGTCAATTTGCCTGGGTTCTCCACCCACATACTCCACTGGAAGTACGCCAAGACCTCCATCACGGGCAAATGGTTCAATTACGGCATCATCTTCTTCGTCATGATCCTCGATCTTAATATGTGGAAGAACCAGATTTTCTATAGCCCGGCTCCCTACGGCCAATACATAGGTGAGTGAGACTCCCAATAAATTAGTTTACCCGACGAACAGAAAACGGTCAGTCATTACTTTCAGCTCATAACATAAGGATCAACACTGCAAGAGGCCTAATGTCCCATACTTGCCAGGTCTGTCTCAAATCCAACCCGCGAACAAAAATATCTTCCCAACCCATTTTCAGTGCTACCCAAGCAATAAACTTTGATAACCTTTTTTAACTCGTGTGCAAATCTCGCTTAAATCCAACCCTTCTCACTCATAAATTTACCCAGCGTAAACATTTCAATTGTTTAAGGTTCCGTCAACACCCACCCATTTGACTGTTTCTGCAACAGTTTCTTGTTAAACCACGGTACGGGTGGGGTTTGAATCCATGGGTGAGTCGTACAACTCCAGGCTAGTGGAGTTTTACGACTCACTCGCCATGGGTTCAGACCCCACCCGTTCTGTGGTTTGTAATCCTGTGTTAAGAGGACGGGCTGCCCCCTGAGGCTAGTACAGGATGAGTGAAAATACCAGTTGGGGGGTCCTTACATCAGTAGGGCAAAATGGAAGTATTTTGTCTGTCAGGCCTCTCAAGGGACTTGATCCTAGAGACTGGACTTTTCCTTCCCTTCTCTGAATCGAACCTCAATGACTCCCATTCCCCGGTGGATTTAGCGCTTTGCCCCAATTAAAAATCATTTTTTTGTCGGGAGAAATAACAGGAATCCCCGTGAAAACATGAAGTATTGTCGTGAGTGCCTGGAGGAACAACTCGCTCTGTTTACAGCTATTACCTGGAGTTTACCTGGAGAGGGTTTCGGGGGTCAACGCCCCCGCTGCCCGGTCTGACACCAGGCCTCATGGTGGATCAGGGTCTGATCAACCAGCGAAACGTGGACCAAATAATAATAATTATTTACAAGTACATGTACAAGGTATACAGTCCTACCTGATATCAATGATATACTACTAAATACTATATAGAAAGCCGCTTGTTATTCAGAGCAGTGAGGGCAAATTAGGTCCTTGTCCCAGGATGCGACCTACACCAGTCGACTAACACCCAGGTACCCATTTTACTGATGGGTGAGCATAGACAACCGGTGCACAAAACACGCCTCAAGTTCCTACCGCGCTGGGAATCGAACGTAGACCCTCGCCGTGTGAAGCCAGAGCTATGGCGATCGGGCTACGGAGCACCGTATATAATATTTAATAATTTGTTCTGCAGTGTTTCTTTTCAGTGCTGCTTGTAGCTTTTTTTTTTTAACTTGCCAGGAAGAACTTTGTTACTTGAACCACTATCCACTTGCAGCTTCAGGCTTTCTTATTATCTGTGTTAAGTAAACTTTATTCTAAGTAAGAAAACCTTATATGTTGGGGTATTTTGTCTGTCAGGAGAATTTGGAAAATTCTTCCCGTCGTGGATGTTTAGTTGTATGTTGACAAAGAAGACCCTTATTTGGACTATAACCGGTGTGACCTATTTCCATTAGGTTTTTTTTTTTAAATCCTCTCCCAGGATCCGAGCCACAACAGTTGACTAACCCCCAGAGTACCTATGTACTACTAAATAGCAGCAGCAGATGTTGGAAGACTTGTTCCATACGTTTCACCCGCCTTTGATTTAACCTAGGATACCCTGGTATGTGTGCCGGGCACGCTACTGCTATACTCTGAGGTCCCCGTCCTACAGAGCTTCAACCATTTAGCAAAAAAGGCTTCCGCGAGCTTAACAGTCCATCCACGTAAGAAATTAAATATCACATAATTAAATATGATGATGGTTCCTGCAGTTCATTTTTCAAACAGGACCATCATACATGAGTCTTCAATACATTTGCAATTTATGTATATTGCTTAAAAATGCGATTTTGAATTAAACAATACATTAAATACTCATTATAGACAAAAATTATGATAAATGATTAATATTTAGCCAGGGAAGGGTTAGCCTGTCAACTACACTAGGATGGTTAAGGCTGCATATAATCCATTACCACCAAAGTGGGTAAGAGATTATATACTGAGTTATTTTAATCCCTAAAACCGGGATTAAAATAAGCTTTCAGCATATACACTGAGAGAAATGCACATCTGAGTGCATATCCTGTGTATGAATCTCCAATAGACCAATGATATGATATATTTCCAGTGGTATTCCTCTTCGTTTTGTATCAAATTTTGTTGCTAAAGGTTCCATAAAGCACTGCCATTGAATCGGTATATGAAATTTTAAGTATTAAGATATGATAAGGTTTGTTCGAATTTTTAACACTGGGGAGGGTTAGCCATCCAGAATTACACAAGAAAGTCAGTGCGTCATCGAGGACTGTCTTATTTCCACTGGGGTCCTTCAATCTTGTCTCCCAGGATGCGACCCACACCAGTCCAATAACAACCAGGTACCTACTTACTGCTAGGTGAACAGGGACAGCAGGTGTAAGGAAACATGCCCAGCATTTCTACCCTTGCCGGGGATTGAATACAGACACTTAGTGTGTGAGGCGAATGCGTTGCCTCATTATATAAATGGTTATAACTATGACCATAATTTTTAAAGAGGTGGACCGGTAAGCCAGGGAAAGGCCTCGATCAGATGGCCAAAAGCTCCCGCAGATGGTCATCATCTGACCAAGACCAGCGTCAGGAAACACTCGTCCTATTTCCTGACGAACCTTACCTAACCCTGCCTCATTATTCCTGATATTTTATAATGATCATATGGTAATCATGACTCGGGTGGTAGTGTCCTCAGTTTACACACTGTGGTACCCGGAATCGTGCCCAATACGAGTGAAACTTGGGTCATTTTTTCTTGCATCTGCTACTACTGTTCACATATCAATAGGTAGATACCTGGGGAGTTAAATGTTGTGGGTCGCATCCTCAGGGAGAATATTAAAGGACCTCCCTTGAAATAGACAAACAGTCCCCGATGACACAAGGGCTTTATTGGGCTATCCTGGGTGGCTAACCGTACTGTAACTTACTGCTAGGCTTTTAACTAATAAGATATTACAAGGACTCCAATGGAAATTAGTCACTGTGTCGGACCTTTTTTGGGGGGGTTATCCTAGGTAATTTATACAAGTGTTACTATGTATGATAATTGTACTTATGTGGATCTGTACGTAAATGAACTTACTGTCTCCGTATCTTTTTTTTTTTTTTTTATATGTCAACGCTAGTCATTGAAGATAGTTTCCCCTAATCACTTCCCCATTTTTCTGCAATGCGTTTTCTATGGTCAGAACATTTATATTTGTTCTGAATTATTTATTTATTTTCATTTCTGATTAAATTTTGTTTCCACAGATCCCGTCAGCAGGCATGTATACTCTGTGGAGGACCCTGTGTTTGTGAATGAAGGCAACGAAACCCTGTGGACCTGGGAAGCACGCTCTGAAATCAACAATGAGACAGGACTCCCTTATAGAGAACGTAAGACCTTTAGAAGACCCTTTTTAAAGACCTATGTAAAATAGTTGTACTCAGAAAAAAAAAATTCTACAGACAATAGTATAAATTTGTGAAAATTGGAGAAATTGGAGAAAAGTATTTGAGGTGGTCAGTCCCTCAGCCTGGAGAAGAGTTCAACTCCATGGTCTGGAACGATATCGTTCCAGACCATGGAGCTGTTGTGGTAGATACACTTTTGTGATCTTTTGAAAGTGAAATTCTCTGATATTATCATTCCTATGTCCTTCACATTAGTTTTTCGCTCTATTGAGTGGCAGGAATTTTTTTGTACTCCGATAGTTTTAATTTACTCAGCTTTCCCATATCAGAGTAATGGAAATTTTTCTTCATTGAACTTCATACTGCTTTCTGAGGCCCATTTAAAGATTTGGTTCATGTCCGCCTGGAGTCTTTCAGTGTCTTGGATGGACGACTGTTCTCATGTCTGACATAGACATCTCTGTCTATGTCAGATATGAGAATAAGGAACAGAATGGGAGCGAGTACTGTGCCTCGTGGAACAGCTTTTCACTGCTACCGCCTCAAACTCTACTCTATTTACTATTACTCTTTGTGTTCTGTTTGTTAGGAAGTTATAGCTCCATCTACCATCATTTCTCATTATTCCTAAATCATGCATTCCTTGCGTTGTTACACCATGGTCGCACTTGTCGAAGGCTTTCGTAAAGTCTGTGTATACTACATCTGCATTTTGTTTGCCCTCTAGAGCATCCAAGAAATTGTCAGTTATATATCTGTTGTATATGCTGTGGTTGTTATTCGTTTTCTTTGTCTTTCATTGTTTCGTTATCTTCCATTCATTTTTATTTGATATACTCCGATATACTCTATTTGATATAATCTCTCTCCCTCTCTCTCTCTCTCTCTCTCTCTCTCTCTCTCTCTCTCTCTCTCTCTCTCTCTCTCTCTCTCTCTCTCTCTCTCTCTCTCTCTCTCTTTCTCTCTCTCTCTCTCTCTCTTTATTTCACTGAAATATCTCTAATGACTTTAATCTTCTTGGCATTTTGCCAACTTTTTCCTGGGGTCGATGGTTCTCCGTCTGACTCGCTTTTTCTTTTTCTTAACTTTAAAGAAAATCTGTGTTTTATTAGTTTATTTTTTCACAGCAGTTGTATTCCTATCACAATATGCAAATAAAATCAATGTGCAACATGGAATTTCCTCTTGTTGCATTACCCTCAGTGACCTTTTGGTGTGGTAACTCCCGTGGTCGTTAGAGTAAGTAGGTTTTATTTGTACTAATGACCCCAGAGAGTTAATAGCATCAGAGGGTTATTAACTCTGTAACGCTGTTAACCTTATAGGGTTATTTCCCGAGTATTTTTATTCCCGAAGGGATAACCTTCGAGGGTTATCATCCCCAGAGGGTTTTTAGCTCCATAGGGGCTAAAATTATTAACCCCGAAGGGTTATATCCCGAGGGTTATTAACCCCAGAGGGTTATTTAGCCTTGTTCACATTCTAGGAAGTATTTATATCTTGTTGCACAACCTGAGGACGGACCTGTCTTTACTAACCTGCTTGGTACCCTTGCAGAGGACATGTTCATGTACTCACGCTTTATGGAGTACAGTGTAGCGGTCAAGTGCACGGCACTCATCCCCAATATCCTGGGCTTCATCATGCTCTTCACTCTTGTCTCACTCTACGGCCGCTTCCCTCCTAACCAGGTTAGTTGTGTGAGCACCCACGAGTGCTTTGGTAAGTTTGAGTGGGTTACAGAGCAGTGACAACCAAGCAGATGTTTGGTATATTTAAGCAGGTGTTTGGTGTGTTTGAGTGTGTTGCAGAGCAGTGGCAACCAAGCAGGTGTTTGGTATGTTTGAGTGCGTATGTTTGTTTGGATTTATATAAATTAATTGTGTGTGGAATTTTTAAGTGAGTGGAGTGACCGAGCATCAAAGGAGGTTTAGAAGAGATTCGGATTGTGTTTAATGTCTTTTGCAGTATTCTAATCGAAATTTAAAAATTCTCTAATTTCCTAAAATGATATTCTCAAATTTCCATAAAAATCTCTCTAATTTATATTCTCATCCTGCTGCTCCTAGATCAGCATTTCATATTATGACAAATTTATTTATTTCATATATTTACAGTACAATTCTTGCATACTCTTTGGGAATGTGTATACCTAGCTGGATTTGCCGAGATTACACCATAGCTGCTGGGCCCTTAGCTGTTCAATGTTTATATCTAGTTTTGAATCCGTGTGTATGCGTACTCGCCTAATTGTTTTCACCTAATTGTGGTTACAAAGGTCGATTCGTAGTTCCTGGCCCCGCCTCTTCACTGCTCGCTGTGTGTGTGTGTGTTTGTTCATTTTAAATTGCAACACAAAAAATGCAGAGTAACAACACAAACTTGCATAACTTTTGTATAGAGCGGCCAAACAAAACTACCAATAAAACTAAAGTGAACTATTTGAAACCTGATTAAATCCTGTTGCTTCCTTTAGTCGACTTTGATGTGTGTTAGCTGCCTTATACAAAAGCTTTGTACGTAATTATAAATGTGTTGTTACTCTGTATTTTCCATATTGTTTCATTTATTTCAACCCTCGCAGTAGTGCCCAACCCACTTGTGTCTGGAGTTCGTCAGTAAGAACCCACATTCCACCCCTCACAATATTCTTCAGGGTTCTCGTCTACTTACAAAGACCTCGTCTTGTATTATAACATTACGTCACTGCTGATCTACGTAACATTATTGTTTATATAACTCTTCTAAATTTTATTCTAAATTTTTAGCTTAACTCCAACTTCTTTGAAAAATGTTCTATACACGTGAATGAGAGTTTGTCGTAAATCAACATCATTAAGGCTATATTACTTTAGTTTGATACTTAATTCTTGTACTAATTATAATTATAAAAAGTATGAGCTCGTAATATTTTAAATGGTATTTAATTATTGTTACAATAGAGCTCAGAGTTTGATGATGGACGAAGAAGCATCAGAAACGTTAATACATAAACTGGAGATCCTTTGGAGATCACAGTAAACAGGCGATATCACAGTATGCAAAATAACCACAGTGAAAAAAATAGTGAAATTCCAAGCACTTTCGTGATTTCTAACATTATCAAGGAATAATACAATGATAATGTAAGTAATCGCGAAAGCGCTTGGAATTTCACTAATTTTTCACTGTGGTTATTTTTCATATTGTGATATCACCTGTTTATTGTGATTATATATATATATATATATATATATATATATATATATATATATATATATATATATATATATATATATATATTTATTTCAACAAGTTGGCCGTCTCCCACCGAGGCAGGGTGACCCAAAAAAGAAAGAAAATCCCCAAAAAGAAAATGCTTTCATCATCATTCAACACTTTCACCACACTCACACATAATCACTGTTTTTGCAGAGGTGCTCAGAATACAACAGTTTAGAAGCATATACGTATAAAGATACACAACATATCCCTCCAAACTGCCAATATCCCAAACCCCTCCTTCAAAGTGCAGGCATTGTACTTCCCATTTCCAGGACTCAAGTCCGACTATATGAAAATAACCGGTTTCCCTGAATCCCTTCACTAAATATTACCCTGCTCACACTCCAACAGATCGTCAGGTCCCAAGTACCATTCGTCTCCATTCGCTCCTATCTAACACTCTCACGCACGCTTGCTGGAAGTCCAAGCCCCTCGCCCACAAAACCTCCTTTACCCCCTCTCTCCAACCCTTTCGAGGACGACCCCTACCTCGCCTTCCTTTCCCTATAGATTTATATGCTTTCCATGTCATTCTACTTTGATCCATTCTCTCTAAATGACCAAACCACCTCAACAACCCCTCTTCTGCCCTCTGACTAATACTTTTATTAACTCCACACCTTCTCCTAATTTCCACACTCCGAATTTTCTGCATAATATTTACACCACACATTGCCCTTAGACAGGACATCTCCACTGCCTCCAACCATCTCCTCGCTGCTGCATTTACCACCCAAGCTTCACACCCATATAAGAGTGTTGGTACTACTATACTTTCATACATTCCCTTCTTTGTCTCCATAGATAACGTTTTTTGACTCCACATATACCTCAATGCACCACTCACCTTTTTTCCCTCATCAATTCTATAATTAACCTCATCCTTCATAAATCCATCCGCCGACACGTCAACTCCCAAGTATCTGAAAACATTCACTTCTTCCATACTCCTCCTCCCCAATTTGATATCCAATTTTTCTTTATCTAAATCATTTGATACCCTCATCACCTTACTCTTTTCTATGTTCACTTTCAACTTTCTACCTTTACACACATTCCCAAACTCACCCACTAGCCTTTGCAATTTTTCTTTAGAATCTCCCATAACCACGGTATCATCAGCAAAAAGTAACTACGTTAATTCCCATTTTGAATTTGATTCCCCATAATTTAATCCCACCCCTCTCCCGAACACCCTAGCATTTACTTCTTTTACAACCCCATCTATAAATATATTAAACAACCATGGTGACATTACACATCCCTGTCTAAGACCTACTTTTACCGGGAAGTATTCTCCCTCTCTTCTACACACCCTAACCTGAGCCTCACTATCCTCGTAAAAGCTCTTTACAGCATTTAGTAACTTACCACCTATTCCATATACTTGCAACATCTGCCACATTGCTCCCCTATCCACTCTATCATATGCCTTTTCTAAATCCATAAATGCAATAAAAACTTCCCTACCTTTATCTAAATACTGTTCACATATATGCTTCAACGTAAACACTTGATCTACACATCCCCTACCCACTCTGAAACCTCCTTGCTCATCCGCAATCCTACATTCTGTCTTACCTCTAATTCTTTCAATTAAAACCCTACCATACACTTTTCCTGGTATACTCAATAAACTTATTCCTCTATAATTTTTACAATCTCTTTTGTCCCCTTTCCCTTTATATAAAGGGACTATACATGCTCTCCGCCAATCCCTAGGTATCTTCCCCTCTTTCATACATTTATTAAACAAAAGTACCAACCACTCCAACACTATATCCTCCCCTGCTTTTAACATTTCTGTCATGATCCCATCAATTCCAGCTGCTTTACCCCCTTTCATTCTACGTAATGCCTCACGTACCTCCCCCACACTTACATTCTGCTCTTCTTCACTCCTAAAAGATGGTATACCTCCGTGACCAGTGCATGAAATTACCACCTCCCTTTCTTCCTCAACATTTAAAAGTTCCTCAAAATATTCTCGCCATCTACCTAATACCTCCCTCTCCCCATCTACTAACTCCCCTACTCTGTTTTTAACTGACAAATCCATACTTTCCCTAGGCTTTCTTAACTTGTTTAACTCCAAAAATTTTTCTTATTTTCGTTAAAATTTCTTGACAGTGCCTCTCCCACTCTATCATCTGCTCTCCTTTTGCACTCTATCACCACTCTCTTCACCTTTCTTTTACTGTCCATATACTCTGCTTTTCTTATAACACTTCTGCTTTGTAAAAACCTCTCATAACCTAACTTTTTCTCTTTTATCACACCCTTTACTTCATCATTCCACCAATCACTCCTCTTTCCACCTGCCCCCACCCTCCTATAACCACAAACTTCTGCCCCACATTCTAATACTGCATTTTTAAAACTATTCCAACCCTCTTCAACCCCCCCACTACTCATCTTTGCACTAGCCCACCTTTCTGCCAACAGTCGCTTATATCTCCCCCGAACTTCCTCCTCCCTTAGTTTATACACTTTCACCTCTTACTTGTTGTTGCCACCTTCCTCTTTTCCCATCTACCTCTTACTCTAACTGTAGCTACAACTAAATAATGATCCGATATATCAGTTGCCCCTCTATAAACATGTACATCCTGGAGCCTACCCATCAACCTTTTATCCACCAATACATAATCTAACAAACTACTTTCATTACGTGCTACATCATACCTTGTATATTTATTTATCCTCTTTTTCATAAAATATGTATTACTTGTTACCAAATCTCTTTCTACACATAGCTCAATTAAAGGCTCCCCATTTACATTTACCCCTGGCACCCCAAATTTACCTACTACTCCCTCCCTAACATTTTTACCACTTTAGCATTGAAATCCCCAACCACCATTACTCTCACACTTGATTCAAAACTCCCACGCATTCACTCAACATTTCCCAAAATCTCTTCTCCTCTACACTTCTTTCTTCTCCAGGTGCATACACGCTTACTATAACCCACTTTTCACATCCAATCTTTATTTTACTCCACATAATCCTTGAATTAATACATTTATAGTCCCTCTTTTCCTGCCATAACTTATCCTTGAACATTATTGCTACTCCTTCTTTAGCTCTAACTCTATTTGAAACCCCTGACCTAATCCCATTTATTCCTCTCCATTGAAAAATCTCCCACCCCCTTCAGCTTTGTTTCACTTAAAGCCAGGACATCCAGTTTCTTCTCATTCATAACATCCACAATCATCTCTTTCTTATCATTTGCACAACATCCACGCACATTCAGACTTCCCACTTTGACAATTTTCTTCTTCTTATTCTTTTTAGTAATCTTTACAGGAAAAGGGGGTTTCTAGCCCATTGTTCTCGGCATTTTAGTTGACTTTTACAACACGCATGGCTTACTGAGGAAAGATTCTTATTCACTTCCCCATGGATATAAAAGGAAAAGTAA